TTATTATTTACTGCCACTGTTTCTTCAGCAGAACTTGAGGAGGTTATTTTGAGTAGCTAAAGTCATACAGATTCAGGGATGCCTTAATTCAGAGAGGCTCGCACAGCTGCGGTGTACGTGCAGGAGCTCGTGTCTTCCTGACGGAGAGTAACGGTTTCCTGTGAGAACGGACCGACTGGACCGAGCCTGGAGCGGGCGGAGTGAAAGTGCACACGTGGACTCCAGAGACGGACATTTCAACCGGCCAATCACAGCTCGGTCGGGTGACGTCGCTGCTAAGCAGCCATCCAATGGAGTTGTTCCTTTGGAGCTGAAAGCCCACCTTGTTTAATCTATGTGGGGAGAAAAAAAATGTGTAAAAAAGAATCTGGTGTGGAAGCAGCTGAGCCTCTCTGCTACCAGACTGATGTTTACTTTGTGTCGAGCTGAAGAACAGAGGAGACATCCCTGCTTTTACTCAGGAAATAAAACATCTGAGTGATGGTGAAAAGAAAACACTTTCATTTTTCCATCTGAGCAGAACTCTGGAAAGATTTTAACTTCAAGAGACAAAGAAACTGAGGTAAGACCCATCAGTTCTCTGCTTGTTGTTCCACAGATATTAAACCCAGGAGTTTATGGTCAACTTTTTTTTTTTTTTACAAAACAACTATTAAAGAGGAGAAAACCATCTTTCCATGAAGGAGCTCAGCTCAGACAGTAACCATGTTGGTTCAGTTCTATAAAAAACTTTTAATGACTTACATATGTTCCAGTAGACGGAAAATTGTGTGTATGTGTGGACTGGTATTCTCTACGACGATGTGGGACAGTTTTTTTTTTTTGGCATACACACCTACTTGTGGGGACTTAATGTTATGTATGGGGACCTGAACTGGTACTTATGGGGACCTAAGTCTAGCCCCATCAAGGGGAAACGTCAATTGTGGGTCAGGGGTTAAGTTTAGGACTAAGGTGTGAATTGAGTTTAGGTTCGTTTTAGGGTCAGGTAGGTACCTGTGTGGTTAGCCTTAGGGTTTGTGGTCAGGGTTACGCTGTAGAAAATAATGAAAGTCAATGCCAGGTCCACATAAAGATAGCTGTACCAGATTGTGGGTGTGTGTGTGAGTGTGGCATTCCCACAACAAAGTGAAAAGACTATTAAATAAACCAAGACACTTTTAGTGTCTGAAACACTTCTGTCTAGGACCAAAAGCAAAAAGAAACAAACAAACAAGCTAATCATGTATATTTCTATGAAGCAGCTGGATCCAAAATCACTTTTATGTCTGAAACATTTTGTTCTTAGCAAACATTTAAAAATGACAGGCCTGGCATTCCTCGAAGGAAGGCACATCGCCCGCCTCCTTTTGAGATAATGTTGTTTTTGGGCAAACTTTTTAAATAAGTTTTGCAATCTGACGCTGCTGCATTAGATTTAAGCTTGTGATCTGTAAAGCTTGACTGGATTATAATCATTTTGTGTTGTGTTGAGTTTAATTAATGTTGTGGGTATTTTTGAAATGAGTTGACTCCAAAAGTGAATCTTGTGTAGAATGTTCATTAGTGGTGATTTCTTGATGGTTTCATTAAAAACAGAGCTGAAATGTGTAAAGCTGAGTAAGTGTTACTACCATACCAAACTTTAGCTCCTTATCTGTCAATTTTTGTGTATTCTATGAGGCCAGTTGGCATTACTGGTCATCTAAAATTTGGTTGTCCCTTTAATTTGTTGTAGGGCTCCAGATGTTATATTCTGAGAGTTTCTTTAAAATCTGTCCTGTGGTTCATGAGATCTTTTGCTAACAGACAGTGATTGGCACAGCTCCGCTAATCCACTTATAACAGAACTAGCTTTCATTTGGTTATTAGCCATTTTGCTAACTTTGGAAACCGTTCACGGACCAATTAGCCTCACACTAATTTTAGGTCCATTGAAAAAAATTCACAAATATAAAACTTCTGTTTTTATGCCATTTATCCCAAATTAAATAAAAACTGTCTGCTCTCATAAACAGCCAGATGTGAGGGCTCTGTGTCAGGCTGGCACCTTGTAGCATCTTTGGCATCTAAACTTCAGATTAAAGCTTGCTTTATACTTCAAGGCACACATCTTGTTCCCCCTGCTGAGTGACAAATCGTCTGCTCTCCCGCTGCTATCCCCCGGTGACAGCCGTCTTGTGCTTTACTCCCAGTCAGAACTCTGCGATGCGGACCTTGCGGCTCGGAGCGTGTGATTGGGCAGAAATTTGTGGGTGTGTTGAGGAGAAACACAGCACTGAGCTGGAGCAGAGCCACTCTTTCTTCTGCATGTTATTTAGTTTAAAATGATTTTTGTCTGAAGCCTGTTGTGAAAGGAGGTTAAAGTGTTTGATCCAATTGACCACTAACAAAAGGAAAAAAAAGTTTTTCCTCCATGGACTCTTCACTCAACACAACACTGATTGTTTGCAGACATGTCAACCCCTTTGGACATTTACCTGTATAACGTGCCTCAAAAATGTGTACTAGCACCCGCTGCAGAGACGACAGTGCCTGCTGCAAAGCAGGAGGAAAGGAGAGTGGAAGAAGTGCAGAACTTATTTCTAGCGGCAGAACAGGTTGGAAGATGCTTATTTGATGTTATTTATTGTTTTTAAATCATCCTACAGGCTCTGACATGTTAGATAAATTTGAAACTGAGGTTTTGAAAAAAATCTGTAAAACTTGAAAATATCCGTGAGATTGCTCCATACGCCCGTATGCCTGCAAAATCATGGAAAATTTGTGTAAATTACAGAACAATCCATACAACTTGACATGTATGTTGTTGGGTGGAAAAAAGACAACATCCAGCCATCATTGTTGTTGTTTACATATTTATACAAGCTGTTGGAGTGCAGAGGGAGGATCTATGACAATTTATGCCCCGCCACGTCTTCAGCCTTTTTACACTTGTTCAGGAAAAAGATGTCCAAAATGATGCAATCCCTGACCTGCTGTCTCATGTTGTATTGAATAATAACTTGAACTTTAGAGCGTTAAAAATAAATAAAAAACTGTTAACAATATGTAAACAATGAATAGAACAATGGACAAAGTATAAATATGGTAGAGAAAATATTATGTTAGGGTATATATTGTTTCACTAACTTCAAATGGTATTTATAAAAATACAAACTCAAAGAATTTATTTTATTCTGAAAGCTCTGGTTTGGATTGGCTGATTTGCCACTGATGATCCCACCCACCTTCAAATGAACCCCCCGAAAAACAGCAGAAAACTAACAACAGGTTTGTATCATGCTGCGCTCCAGTTGTCCTCGGAAGTCGTAGTTACGCACTCCGAGTTGTAATTTTCAACTGGAACGTCCCCTGATGCCGTAAGACTCTTTACTGTTACGTTTATTAGCAGTTCTGCGATGTTTACATTCAGTCAGTTGTACTTGTAGTACTTTATAGTTTTATTATTAGATTATTAGATTTGTTTTAACACTGTTTGTACACAAAATGCCACGTCACATAGAGCACTATTGTTGTGTTATTGTGACAGAGCAAAAAAAAATTAAATAGAAACTCTTTTTTCCAAAATTCTCACAAGTTTGAAACTGAAACACTTTCAACTCAGAACTGACGTCGGAAGGAGATGACAGTCGTCTTTAGGAGTTTAGCGTTAGCGAAGCTAAGAGTCTTGTTTAGTGAGTTAGTAGTATTTTGGTCAGCTGTGCCCACCACTGCTAATAAACACACAGAACGTAGCAGCAGGTGATGATAATCGTAGCTTGACTTGATGTTTTTGGTTATAAATCTTAAACTAACATAAAAAGGCCTAAATGTAAAATGTGTGTTTCTGTATCAGATGTTGATTGTTCAGTCAGTAAATTTATTCAGACACACGGTGGTTCTCAGGTGACCTGAGGGAGGTTGCTAGGGTCTGAAAAGGCAGAGACCACCTGACCCAGAGATGAGCTCAGTTCTGTTTGAACTCTGCGTTCTCCCTTTTTGTTGCCGTCTTTCATTTCCATCTGAAAGCAGACCACAGCCACTCACCTTGTTCTTATTCTGATTACTGTTCAGCTCACTCCTGCTTTTCCCTTATTTTATCAAACTGCTAAAAAAGCAACCGTCAGACATGTTTACTGTCTGCTTTTACTCTTTTCATGGTATTTTCAGTGCAAACACTGGAGTTAAATAAAATCACTCTCTTGAACAAATTCTAAATTAGACACTATTTTAATGGCCTTCCTTTTCCCAGAAATTGTCTCATTTGTTCCATGAGATCATTAAATCCAAAACAAACAGCATGTATAATTGTCAAAGATATACTAACTATTGTCTGCAACCTGAAAAAAAGAGACATTCCTTCTCCTTCTCCCACTAAACGTTTGTCCAGAGCTGCAAAACTTCCTTTAAGTCTAAAATAAAGATAGCTCTCATTGTTTTTTTTAGCATTTTCACAAGCATTTTGGAGACCCGCCTACTAAAGCATACAAAAATATTGACTATCATTAAATCTATTTTACTATAAGAAAAGCTGAGACAAACCCCATGTTTACACATGGATATAGTAGCATGTGTGCTAACAGTTTAACCCCAATAAAGTACCTCTGGTGTGATGTCACCCTTTATTAGAGGTTTCATCCTCCAGTTCTGTTATACACACCAGTAACAACCTCTGACTCATGGAGTCAGTTTACAGCCAATAAAAGCATAAATGCAAAACCAAACCTGAACAGGACATTAACAAGAACAACCCACACTCATAAACAGTCATTACATTGCACACGATTGCCACAAGGCTACCCAGCATCCTCTGCAGCTAACACAGGCTGTGTCCAAATTCGGAGGCTGACTCCATGGAAGACTGAATTTGTCGGCTGTTTGTGTCACTTCTGTGTTCCGAAGGCTGTACAAATTCAAAGACTCCTCCAACTGCGGCCCATAAATGTGGCCTCATTCGAGTCCGGTGGATTCTTCTCGGCCCACTTCATCCCATTGCAGGTCAACTGAGAGTTTTTTTTTTTTTTTGCTTGTAATGGCAAACAAAGCAAGAGAAAGGAATACAGCACCCCTAGTTTAGTTTGTATGCTTGTGAAATGGCTGAAATTTTGAACCATCCCTAAGTGTTATATAATTAATCAAAAACCCTTTGATTTGTTACATTATGAAATTAAAGTTCTACAACAAATTGCTGACATCTATTATCACTTTTATATGTTCAGACAAAGGAGAAAAACAAACTTTTGTAAAGATGGGAAGGAAACATTTGCTTTATATCCTTTTGATCAAATGTAAACATTAATAGGATAAGCGTTACTCCTTGATATAATAAATCATCAGACTAAATTATTAGAGCTAAGACCTGGGGTCAGATTTATAAAGCTTGTGTACGCACAAAACGAGCCCAGAAACTTGCGTACGCCACTTTTCACACCAAGGTTGTGATTATAAAATCCAAACTTGACGTGAAAATGTGCGGTCCCTCAGCCCAGTGTTGCCAACTTAGCGACTTTGTCACTAGATCGGTTAGGGTTAGGGTAGACTGGAGCATGAGGGAGAGTGGTAAAAAGAAGGGGGGCGGACTGGTGATGTACGTTAATGCGAGATGGTGTAACCCTGGACACATCACTGTGAAGGAGCAGTGCTGTACCAAAGACGTTGAACTAACAGTCAGCACTCGGCCATACCACCTGGCCCGTGAGTTCTCTCATGATTGTGCTAATTGTTTACATCCCTCCCTCGGCCGACGCTACGGCAGCCCATGAGGACCTTCACACCACTAAATGTTTTTCCATCTAATTACATCCAATTTTAATTCGAATTTTGAATGAATTTTAATAATTACGCAAAAAGGAAAAAATTAAGAAATGCAAATCAGCCGGAGTTTCCATCAACTGGCTTGAAGCAAATGAATTACGTCATACGCATGTGCGTAGTAAACAGGAAGTAACCGTCGCTAAACTCGCAGGGTCCACACATCTCTGGAAAATGGAGAGAAGTCATCAGAAACGCGTTGCTACTATCAGGAAAGTTGTAATTATTCTGTTATCAACTAGTTTTGGCGATGTTACATGCTGTCTGGAGACGTAGAGAAAGAAATGCAATTTTCTTCACATTACAGGATTACTGACAAGACGCAAACAGCGGGAGGAGGGTACTGCTGCCAGTCGCAGCTGCAGCCGACCCGAAACTGGTATCGGTGAACAGCTGATCAGCTACGTGAGGTAAATGTTCACTATGTCACAACTTATTCAGCAAAAGTGTTTCCATCTCTCCTTTTGCGCATTAAGTGTTTTTCGAAAAACCCAAAAACCACCTCAAGCGAGTGTAAAAACATTTTAGCGAATTGAGGATTTTTTTTTTTCGAATTTTGCTGTTTCCATCCAACTTTTTTTCGCATTTTTAATGTGACACTTCTAAATGCGCATCAAAAAGCCTTGATGGAAACACGGTTACTGTCTCTCAGGTACAGACGGCACACCCACAGTCCCTGATTATCATCTCCGGGGACTTAATGCCTCCCCCTCTTCCACTCTCCCTAACTTCACCCAGTATGTTGACTGCCACTCTAGAGACAACAAAACTCTGGATCTGCTGTTTGTCAACACCAAGGAGGCTTACAGCTCATCACCCAACCCCCTGCTCGGTCACTCAGATTACAATCTGGTCCTTCTCCACCCCACCTACACCCCATTGTGAAGAAGAAACCCCCCACCAAGAAGGTGATAAGGCTGTGGTCTGAGGACTGCAGTGAGGCCCTGAGAGACTGTTTTGAATATACAGACTGGCAGGAACTCTGCAGGCCTCACGGCAAGGACATCAACACCCTGACCCACTGCATCACCGACTACATGACCTTCTGTGTGGAGAACATTGTGCCAACTAAGAAGGTACGGTGCTTCTCCAACAAAAAGCCATGGGTGACCCTAGAGCTGAAGGCCCTGCTGAACGAGATGAAGAGGGCCTACAGATCTGGCAACAAAGAGGAACTGAGGAGAGTGCAGAAGGATCTCAAATACAAGATCCAGAGAAACAAAGAAAGCTTCAGGAGGAAAATGGAAGAGCAGCTCTTAACAAAACAAAGTCCGAGAGGTCTGGAGTAAGATGAATAAAATCTCTGGCCACATTGGAGGAGCCACAGGGCCTACAGATCAGGGATGGGCTAACGACCTGAATTAGTTTTTCAATGGATTTGACTCTGGCCCGTTGACCACCTCCCCCACTCCCCAGCTCCCAACTAGCCCCCACCATATGCTGCTCCCCCACTTTCCGCTTCCTGCACTCTCCTCACCCCCATCCACAACAGAACCAGCCCCACCTCCCACTCCAACCCAGCCTCACATTCACCTCACAGCTGATCAGGTGAGAAGTCAGCTCAGGACAACAAAGATCAGGAAGGCAGCAGGACCGGATGGAATCAGTCCCAGACTGCTCAGAGACTGTGCAGATCAGCTCTGTCAGGTGGTCATGCACATCTTCAACCTGAGCCTGAGTCTGGAGAGGGTTCCTGATCTGTGGAAGACTTCCTGCGTGGTTCCAGTGCCAAAGATCACAACACTACAGACCTGTGGCTCTGACTTCTCACTTGAAGACTATGGAGAGGCTCATCCTGCACCATCTTCGTCCTGTAGTGAGCCCAGCACTGAACCCCCTGCAGTTTGCCTACCAGCCTGGCATCGGGGTGGAGGACGTTGTCATCTGCCTGCAGCATAGATCTCTCTCTCCCCTAGAGCAAGCAGGAAACACTGTGAGGGTCTTTGACTTCTCCATTGCTTTCAACACTATTCAGCCTTCTCTGCTGAGACAGAAGCTGGAGGGAGCCGGAGTGGACAGGCAGCTGAGAGCATGGACCATCGACTACCTCACCAACAGACCACAGTATGTGAGGCTCCGGCGACTGTGTGTCTGATGTGGTAGTCTGCAGCACGGGTGCACCGCAGGGCACGGTCCTCTCACCCTTTCTGTTCAGTCTGTACACATCAGACTTCAGGTACAACTCGGAGCAGAAGTTCTCGGATGATACGGCCATCATTGGATGTGTATCAGACGGGAATGATGAGGAATACAGGGGGGTCATCAGTGACTTTGTTAGCTGGTGTGAGACCAACAATCTCCAAATCAATGCCAGCAAGATGAAGGAGATGGTCATAGACCTCAGGAGGAAGTCACCCCCCACAGCACCGGTGAACGTCCAGGGAAAAGACATTGAGACAGTGGGCTCTTACAAGTACCTGGGTGTTCACCTCAACAACAAGCTGGACTGGACTACAAACAGATGTCTTGTATAAGAAGGACCAGAGTTGACTCCACCTACTGAGTGAGGAGGTTGAGGTCCTTCGGTGTCTGCAGGACTCTGTTAAATAGATTCTTCGACATGGTTGTAGCATCTGCCCTTTTCTATGGAGTGGTTTGCTGGGGGGCTGGATGTACTGAAAGGGACAGGAACAGAGTGCAATGCGGGGAAAAAAGTCTGCGGTTATTCACTCGACGTTTATCCACAAACTGGTTCTGGATTAAGCTCCAAAGTTTTTATCAGTCAGATTCCACCGTGAAAAATGTCTGTTTTATCCCCTTTTATGAGTTTTTGGCCATTGACTATCTTTAAATCACTGCTTCCTGGTACAACAGTGGGCAATGGAAGCGATCGCTTTTTTCTTCCCTTTTTTTTTTTTTTTTTCTTTTTTTGAAGCAAGTGTTTGAAGCAAATGGAGCATAAGAGCCCCTTGGTGGCTAAAGAAAAAAATCCACATAAGCCGCACTGGACTAAAAGCCGCATGGTTCAAAGTTCAGGAAAAATGTCGCGGCTTATAGTCCGAAAAATACGGTAATCAACTTATATTCAAATAACAGTTGATTAAAACACACACAAAGAAACAATGGAACAATATCTTTTTGTGTTTTTTTCTTTTCTGAGTTATAATGAAAGAAAATAGCTTGTCATTCATTTAAGTAT